CCCCAAAACCCCAAAACCCCAAAACCCCAAAACCCCTTGTGGTAAAATTTCAGGGAAATCAGATTGATGAATGGTGAAATACTTTAATTTATAAGATTTAAGCAAGGATTTAATAAAAATGCAAAATACCTCTAAAATACCTAATATCCCAAATACATTAGTCAAGAACTTCTTTATTGCGGGAGTTAACCAGAAGACTCTAGCTAGTAAAACTTATTATTTCATCTATTATAGGTAAAATACTAGAAAAGAAGGCAACTGAGATAGCGCCAGAGGTTCTATTTTCTATGTATCAAAGCAAGGAAAGAGTCAGTAGTTATTTATAAGTAAGTTCCATGTATTAATCTCACCATTCAACTTTAAGTTTGTTTTCCCGGAGAAAATAGCTGTAGAGTATTCTAGCATTGAGCCGAGATTCTTCACGTTTATGACCACAGATTAGGAAGGATTCAACACCTACATTCATGTGCTAATATTCTTTGAGGAAGTTAATGAAGCAGAGATATCTCGCAATGACTTTGACATATTAACTGAAATTCTCAGGAAACAGCACTTGAACAAAAAAGATCACAACAGAAATCCTAAGTCAATTACTAGAGAAGGAAGTAACGGAGCTGTCCATGTTCATGGAGGAGGAGATTCTTATGGCACTCTTTTTAACCAGCATAGAAGAGAACTTTAGGAAAAATTTAAGTCAAGAAACGAAGCGGCTACTTAATTAAATGCTTAGGAAATATCCTCTCTTCATGATATCATAGAAGTTAACAAAGAAACAAAAGTTTTTTCAGGATTATCTGTACCAAAAACTCCACACGCTAAGGTTAACAACATTTTACAGAATTTTAAAGATGACAAGACAAAAAACCATAGAATGAAGGAGTAGGAGACTAAGGACAAATTAGAGAAGTTAAAGTCAAAAATAAATATCCATGGGGGAGCATCGAATGTGAATGTGCTGCTCTCTAATATATCTGGAAATTAATCTGACTATAGAGCAGCTTCCTATATATAAGGAGGAGCTACATAAAAGAATTTAGCAGATGCTAGTGCTACTCATACTTTAAGAATTGAAGAGACAAAATCCTATACTTTTCAAACATTAATAAATGAAACTAAAATGTAAAAGCAAAGAACTAATAATCTATTGTCAGCTTAGCAACCTGAAGAATACTAACCAAAATCCTTACTTTATTAAAGACCTAAGAGTAATGCGATTAAAGTAGTCTAAGAGTCTGCAGACAGATATTCTATGCAATTAAACGATAACGACAAAAATATTTATGATGATTAAAATGGAAATAACATTCCCTCTTCAACTTTAAAAAGCTCTTACTAAGCAAAAGTTCTTCCTAAAGGTTATGATGATTATTATGGAATGAACAGATCAAATCAGGTTCCAACATTTGGTGGTGGTGGAATTACCCATCAAGAAGACCCTTATGCTAGATTTAGTGAGGAATCTGATGAGGAAGATGAATTTGACGATGAATACATGAAACAAAACAACCTCTTTTTCGATAGAAATACAAGCAACTTTGGGAAAAGATAGTCAATCATGGTATCAGAATAAGATGATAAACTTGAATATCTTTATGAGAAAAAAAGTTATGTTCCAGTGGCACTTTGCCTTGAAACAGAAACAGAATATCATGATGTTTTCAGAAAGATCCTATTAACTTTATTTGATGAGATAAGAGTGCCAGATGATGTACTAGTTAATAAGATCTACGAAAATAGACGTCTAGCATTCGCTGAGCTTGTAGCTCATCTCGCATTTTTGAGAACTATACCAGCTCCTTCATTCAACTCTGTCTATAATATATTCCTATTCAACAAGCTATTTACTATTAAAGAGAATACGATTGATCAACTACCAAATAAGAATACCTATGCAATAAAGATCTTGTTTGATGTCTTAGATGTTAAATCTATCTTTTATTGTTGGAAAGCACTTCTCTTTGATAAATCAGTAAGATCAAATTATCATCATAATTATTAATTTTAGTTAGTATTAGTCAGTTCATAATACTCATTGCAGTTCTATGTTGCTGAGGCTTTAAAATAACTTTTATTCCCGCTGACATGGTAGAATACCTATATATAACCAGGAAATGAAAATCTTGCAGGTCATTGTGATGGAACTATAGTATGCCTGTATGGTTCAAATAGCGTAAAAATTGGGTTTGACTTCTTTGAGGAGATGTCTCCTGAGATGGCAGTTGTTGATATTGATGCTTGCTATACTAATTCCATTGAATTACCAACTATTCCTGATGAAACAATGTATATTAGACTTTTGAATCTGCTCAAGAATTCAAGAATAAGCTAATATGACAAAGCCTATCCAGATACTCATATGCCAGAGAGTGAGGACTTTGTTAATTAAGTGAGAGAAGCATTTTTTGGAGTATTAAAGCCATTCCTGTCAAGAGTAGACCACTATATTGACAAATCAATAGATAGCAATTAAGCCTACTTCTAAAAATACTTCAATCATGCATAATTTTTGGATGATTTCAGTGATTATGGAGATGTCCATTATAGATTTGCGAAGGAATTGATTTAATCATCATAGTTTGTGCACTTTTGCGATGACTTCTTCAACGATGAACTCAACAATTACAAGGTACTAAAAGCAATCTTTAAATCTAGAGGGGAATTGAATGACTCACCAGATACTTCTGTTAAGATATAGATTCCTAATATCTTTGACAGTGTGAGTCCAGATGACGCAAAAATACTTAATTTTAACAAGATATGGCCTGAGACTGAGCCTATAGTCTTTAATTTTAGAATGCCTAGTGATGAGTAGAGATTTATGCTATTTGAGAAAATCTTGTTCATGAATGAAGAGAGTCTTGCCAAAAGAGAGAAACTTGTGTCAAGAGAAACAAATGAACACATTATTTAGAACAAGGATAATTTAATGTATGATCAAATAATACAAGATATCAAGAAAATGTATCCTATTAAACTCAAAGGTATACACCAGAAGTATCATGATTAAAATATGAAGATGCTTTAGTAAAATCTGAAAAGAAGACAGTAAGCATTGGATTCAACCAAAAATGCTAACAATGGTCTGAAGAAATTGCCAACTTTTTTTAAGAACTAAGAGAGTAACTCTAGGTATATGCAGAGTAGACCCTCATTGGATGGAACTCGTTTGGCTATTGATATTGTTAATCTGAACATGAGGCCGAGGGGATCGATGAGAGTTACTGAACTTGATTAAAGATTCCCTATGTTTGGTTAAAATTTATAAAGCCAAAAGAAAACTGATTTATCAGGATCTAAACTTCAATTGGATTTAATCAGTAATGATGATTTTAATGGAAGCAGCACTGTAATGAATAATAATAGCTTTATTGAATTGGAATACTAAAGAATTAAAAATTGCAAGAGAAGAATATCTCGCCTGATGTATGGAAAACAGGGTTTAATGACATTTCTTCATCATATATTTGGATTGCTTTCAGAGGATCAAATGAAGAGAGTCAACTATTACTTCGCTTTGAAGGACTAATTAAGAAAGCTAATGGATGTAGAAAGAAAACTCTCCTAAAAATAAAAAGAGGAAAAGTTAAACATTACTATTAGAGAGGAAAACGAAGATGATGCAGATCATTCGCCTACTTCCAGAGAGATAAACTTAGGTTCAATAAGAGATAGAACTAAAACTTAAAATATGAATCCAAGGCAGAGGAAGCCCCCCACTAAATCACCTATTTCCTCAAACAATATAGATCTATTTAGGAGATAGATAACTAATCCTAACATTCAAAATAGTGTAAATGGAGCTAGTGGAATGAAATCAGTAACGACTACTGCATCCAAGATATTTAAGGAAAAATCTGATTGGATAAACATTGAAAACTGGCAGTATTATGGCTGCGCAATCAAAAGAACATCACAATTTATCCTATTTAAGACAAAAATGTATGAAACCTTTGAGTGTCCAGATGAAGGGTACTCTATGATTTGGAAAGACTTGTTGAAATATCCTGCAAATCAAACAGAATTCTTTCCTTTGAGTAAGTTCATGCATATCTGGCAAAATCTCACTTAAAGTTAGTAAGAAGAGCAATTCATAAAGCTCGGATAAAAATAGAGCAGGCCATTTATTTAGACAATATGTTAGGATTTTATCAAGTAGAATAAAATGAGGGATTAGAGTACTATAATAAGTGAGTAGCAGTATCAGTCGTAAGAGAGGCAAAATGACGAAAATATTTTTCGAGAGGCTACTATTGATAAGAACTGGGTAACAATACGCTAAGAAAAGAAGGATAGAGAACTAATGTAAAGACAAAGACTATAGCATTAGAAATCTAGTAATAATTTCAGTGCTTTGTCATCAAGATAGTCAAACTAACCTGACTAAAAGTCACTGAAGAAGCAAAATACTAAAAATGATAGCAGAGGCAGTAACGTGAGTGAAATGATAAAGTAAAAATTGGAGAAGAGGAGAAATCCTTACTCAACAATAGGCTCTAAAAATGACATGAATGATGATTCAAAAGATAGAACTATGTACTCTCAGAGTGGAAGGTCATTCTTCTCAGAGATTGAAACTATTTTTAAAATGCCTAGTACTGAGTCTAAAGCAGATCTTAACTCTTCAAATAGTTCGATGACTCATCAGGACTCGCAGTCCATTTTAATTGATTATAATCTGAGCAAATCCAAGCCAAATAGAGAACCCATCATTCCATATCAAAAAATGAACAACCCAGAGAAAGTGAGCTAAAACCTGTTGCTAAAAATTATAAAATTTTGGGAGTAGAATAGCAAATACATTGAAAAGAAGGGTCAATTCAAAGAATCTGAACTGTCTCGAATCCAAGAAGAAATGAAGGTCTATGATAAATACTTTGAATACCTAAGAGACTATCATCCCGAGGTAAACACAGAGATTGAGAAGCAAGTTTTCTTCTTGAATCTGTATAACTTCCTAGTGCTTTATTACCTAGCACTATTCATGTTTAGCAATCCTGATATCATTGCTAAATTGACTAACTATAACATGTGGTAGTCATTCTTATTGAACTGCAAAGTTAAACTCTGCAACCATACAATTAATGCTTTCTCGATTAAGCACTCAATTCTAAGATACAAGCTTGATTAGCCAAATATATCAGAATTTATGCTTTAGACTCCATAGATGGAATTTTACTGTCAGCGATTCTAGATTCAAACTCCAGATCCCTTAATCTGCTTTGGCTTTTTCATTCCTATTAAGAAAACCTCAAGACTTAAGGTGTTCAATACAATGGATTTCCATGAGCAATTAAGGCAAAGAGCAGAGGAGTTCCTCTTGAAAAAGTTAAGATTTAAGAATGACTCCAGATTCTTGTTCGTTCCTAAGCTGCTTGATATGTATTTCAAAGACTTGAACTAAGAAGATTACATTGAAGTGTTCAGATATATAGAGAACAGGTATATTTTATAAAATAAATCACATTTTTATAGAATTTATCAGTCAGAGGGTAATTCAGATGTAGCTAAATTCCTCAAAGAATTGGACTAGTCTGACATAGATAAAAATAAGATCATTATAGAACCAAGAGAATTCAACTGGACATTCTATCCCTCAAGAATGAAGAAGCTATTTCATAGACCGACACCTTCAATGACTCCTGCTATATGAAAGAATTACTCTAATATGAGATCGCCCAAAATCGATATTATTCATCAAATCATTCAGCTTGAAATTTAATATGTTAAAATTTAAATACTTGATTTCATAATTATAAATTTTTAATGTCTGATTATTTCTTGAGAGTCAAGCAGCTTAGATCTTGCCCCTATATTTCTTTTAAGTTTTTGAATTTCTTGGTAATTCTCAACTAATTTGTGAACATTGTTCTTGCTATTATCCTTAACATTGAACTGTACGACTCTAATTCACCTTACGTCTATGGATACTTGATTGCAGAGCTAACAGGACTAGCAATAGCAGTTTTTGCTTATAGAATTGCCTCAAATTTGTTAACAATGGGCAGAACAAGAAGGAAATGGGTGCTTCAAATCTTATATATGCTACAGCTGCTTGCATTTTTACTCCATTTCATAGTGTCTCTTGCTATGTGGCTTAACTTTAACTTTCTCTCGGAGTATATTGCCTACAACAAGATCGATTATTTAAAAGGCTTAGACTCGTTTAAGAATATTGCTGTTTACCTTGGGTTTTCTTCTCTTCTACTGGGTCTCGATGTATATCTTACTATATATTTCAGAAAGTTCCTAGGTAGGGAACAGATAAGAATAGAGGAGAAAGATAAAAGGCTGAGAGAATTTGAGCTTTATCAAAATACAGTATATAATCTGTATGAGTAATTGGGACAAGAGGATATACATGATATTAGAGGTACGAGGAAAAGACGTAGATGAATAAAAAGAGATTTGGTTTGTCATCAAGTATTGATATATCAGATGACTGTGTAAAGGTCTTGTATAGAATCAGTTTATCTATAGCTGAGAGTTTTGTATTTAATGTTGTAAATAATTTACATCAATGTATGACTAAACCTAAAAATTACAGCCTTTGTTGTCCTTAAGGGGTTTTGGGGTTTTGGGGTTTTGGGGTTTTGGGG